CACTTGGTAGCCCAGGCTGGCCTCGAACTCACAGAGATCCACCTGGCTCTGCCTCCCGAGTGCTGGGATTAAAGGCGTGCGCCACCACCGCCCGGCTCCGCTGGTGTTTTATATGTGTTGTACCAGGTTCTAAGGTACACTGCAGCCAGATGGCACACCCCATCCTTCATTCTCGTCAGTTTCCGTTCATCTAATACAGCAGACCTGTATAGCCATGGGTTCTGGACTAAAGTATCCTTCCTCTAGTATTGCATTGGTACTGTACACCTAGAGATGTTTTTCTTGTCATTATGCCCAGAAGAGTACAGTATATGATGTTTACAAAGTTTTCATTTAATTAGATGTTTCAGTAGCTGGAGATCAAGTATATGGAGGATATGATATGTTTTATGAGACTACTGTGCCATTTTATTGAAGAGACCTGCAGCATTTGGTCTCCGTGGGGGTCCTAGAACATTATGCAGCTATATGCCAGTCCTGGAAACAGGTCAGCACACAAGTCCTTTGTACACCTCTCTGAGTAGAAGAATGTCGCATATACACTTGCAGCACTTGCCCTTCTGCTTGCTAAGGGAGAAGCCATGATTTTGAGCAACCTTGCCCACTCACATTGAGCTGCACTGGACTTGTGGGTGGCACTGCAGGACGACCTCTTTTGCTGCATCAAGCTTGTCCTTGCTCTCTTTGGCTTCACTGGCCCCCCACACTTCCAAACAATGCTGGCTCCATTAGCATTCTGAGTCAGGCAAGAGAAAAATGAAACTCTCAGGAAGCTCTGGAAAAGCCCAAATGAATGCATTTTCCTTCTTCTCCTCCCACCCACCCAGAAGCCACAGGCATTGCTGAGCTGTGCCAGCATGGAGCAGTGCTTGTGGCAGAGGAATTGAAAGGCTTTCTTTCCCTTTGACTGTAGCTCATCTGGCCTTGGCTTGGACTATTAAAGCCTTTAAATTTAAATGACTTTCTGAAGATCCCAGATAGGTGTTTGATATATTGATAGAGAACCCTTAGCCCACTAAATATACGATCTCCTTCAGCTTAACTCCCCTCCTATGTGCCCTGTAATCCTTGACTCTAGTAGAACAGCTAGCTCCCTGTGAGTGTCTCTTGTTGTCGTCTGTGGTTCTTGCAGTCTGTGTGTCTGTCCTGCCTCATTTGCCGTGGTTTTAGGTACTCGTCTTAGCCTTTGCCTCTGCTTCTGCTCTCATTTGTGATTATTTTGCAAACTCTACAGATTGGCCCTTCCTGCTAAGACTTCAGAATTTTTGCCAGAAATTCCAAAAGCTGTTTCCTGCAGGGATCTTAGTTTCCCTTACAGATCTCCTGACTCAAGTGCTGTGACTTTTTAGGAATGGTACCCAGTGTGCAAGGTTACATTTGAGACACTGTTTCATGTTTATGTCTGGTGCTTTTATTGTTACTAAATTGATTTTCTGAAAAGATCTTAAGGTGTTCTTTAAACACAGCTAAGCAGGAGGTACACATACAGTGAACGGCTGTTTATGTGCCCCACTGTCTTTAAAAACAAAGTGAGGTCCTCCGGAGAGGGAGGACGCCTTACACATCTTGCCTTCTTGCCTTCTAGGAGATGAGTGCCTGGGATTTGTTCGGTATTGCACTGGATCAGGAACTGTCACATCCCCAGAACCTCCTTAGGATGCAGTTCTCTGCGTAGTAGGAAACCAGAGAGCAGTTTTTCACTCATTACTCTTCTCTGAAAATCACTCCAGTAGACAGAGATTTGTGACTCCTTTGTTGTGTTACTCGAAAAAACGTATAGCCTAATTATGGGGCTTTTGATAACTAATTTAGCTCTGTGGTTTTAAATCTAGGTGGTCAGTAACTCAGAACATGACTCTGAATCACACAGTCCTGGGTTCAAACCTTGATTCTTAAGTTCTCTGTATGACTTTGGACAGGTTACTTAACCTCCTTAATGCTTAGCTTCCTTTGTTGTAAATGAGGATGTAATAGTAATACCTCGTAGAGTTAGAAATATTATAAGGTGCAATGTACATGTATCCTAGCATATCACTGAAAATTATTGTTATTATTGAAACAAACAGATATGTAAATTATAGTTTATGCCTCTCCCTTTCAAACATTAAGAATCAACAATTGGAAGTCATAGTTACAGTAGAATATCTTGGATTCTTAAATATTTGCCTACATACATTGAAATCTTGGGGAATGCCCCAATTCTAAACACAGAATTCTTTTGTATTGTATGTACACTTCCTGAAGGAACTTTATACAATGTTTCTAGCGCTCTTTACCTTGTCTGTGTCATGTGAGGTCACATGGAGTATTCCACTGTCACATCATGCTAGTACTCAGAAAATGAAGTTTTCGACCGTTCAGATTACTGATTTCAAATTGGAGATGACGAATGTAGACTCCACTAGAGACAGAAACACGGAGTTGCATATGTAAGTACAGCTTACTGCCATCACCCCTGGATAGTCCTGGTCTGGGCACACTTGAAATTTCATGAGCACAATATCTGTCAGTTTAAAGTGACTCTTTATGATCTTCACCAACCCCACATCTGACAGAGGATTGATCTCCACAATATATAAAGAACTCAAGAA